CTGAGATTGTTTGTTTCCTTATTTTCTCAGTCAAAAAATCATACCGTTCGCGCTCTTTACGAAACTTCTTCGTTCAAATCTATTTCCCTGTCAATGTTCCCATCTTCATTAAAAGGCGTAAGATAACAAAAACTAGATCTGAAAGAATTTCTCAATAATGTGCCTTGGTTATGGTAGATAATTCGAAGACAAAATAAAGTGTTACTGTTTCTTATTTGTAGAATGTTTAAGAGGAAAGACCACAACATAATGAACTAATTCATCACAATACCTGAAAACTCTGACTTCACTTTCTTGAAAAATGAAATGGTCTTTACTTTTACTCCCGATCAACAATCAAATATCGTTTCTTAAATTATGAATAACACGAATGGATTGAAATATTTAATTAAATTATCTCAAAATAAACCTTCATTTCGGTGCAAGATTGAAATTAGCTTGAATTCTTCATAACCTCTGAATAGTGGGTGACCCAACGGGTCACGGATTGTCTAGTGATGTATAAAGTTCTCAATGCTTAAAGGTGTTAAAAATGGCGAGACGTAACAACTAAGTCCTATAGTATGACATATAAAGCTCTTAGTGCTCAAGCGTTTGATTACGCGTGAGACTTAATAACTGAGCCCTTTAGCGTAACATAAACATAAAATAGTATAAAGCTCTCAGTCTTTAAGGATGTCAAGAAGCTCGAGATTTAATCACAGAATCATTTACTACATCCTATACAACAGTCCTTAAAGATGTGAACAAACACAAAACTAAACAACTGAGCTCGATAGCATACACATAATAGAGCATAAGGCAATCAGTGCTTAAAGGTGTGATATAGCGCGACACATAATAACTGTGCCCTATTGTATAACATGTGTATAATCGAGTATAGAACTCTCAGTGCTTAAAGGTGAGAACAAGCGGAACACTTAACAAATGAGTCTTATAGTATAATATATGCTTAATGAAGTATAAAGTTCTCACTGCTCAAGCGCGAGACTTGATATTTGAGCCCAATAGCAGAATATATACATTATGGAATATAAAGCTGTAAGTGCTTAAAGGTGTAATCAAACGCGAGACTTAATAACTGAGACCTACACCATAGAATATACATAAGGAAGTATAAATATTTTAGTACCTAAAGGTTAGAACTTGCACGAGACTTAATAGCTCTACAATATAAAATATACAAAATGGAGAATAGTGCTCTCAGTGCTTAAAGGTGAGCTTAATAACAGAGCTCTATAGCATAATATTAGGTCGTCAAGAAACTATTGTCGCGTTTTGGAACACTTTCATTAACCCCCCCCCCCAAAAAAAAAAAAAC